TTGCGCTACTGGCCTAGTAAAAGTAGCCCCAGGCTTTCAGCTCCCAGAGGACAGTCGTCATGGCAACCTTGGGATCAAGGAGCAGACTCTCCTTAGGCCACTGTCTGGAGTACAAAGTCCCTGTTCAGCTTTTGACAAGCTGATTTAAAAAAACACATCCAGCCAAATAGATACAGACACCGATAGACTGGTACTCATATACATAGAAAAGTTTTTAATCATACAGCAGCAGTCAAGTTCCTTCCTACAGCTTTTAATGATCCAGTTCACCGAAACCTCATTTTTCTCTTCACCTGTGGGAACAAGAAATACTCTGATGCCAGCAGAGACAGCCTACCAGTCACCAAGAAGCTGTCACAAAGCCTTGCATTCTTGAAACCCAGCTCCTGGGCACCACCACAGCCCTGGTTTGCTGCTGAAAGTAAGGCCTGCCCCTGACGGGTGTTAGGAGGACACAGCATAATGGAGGACATTTTGTGGCTTCTTAGCCGGTAGCTGTCAGATCTGCTGCTGACCCGAACCAGTCTGCCTTTCCTCGGGTATCCAGGCCCAGGGCACCCAGACAGGAAAGAGGCCTCCTGAGACTAAGTGCCTGTAATGTCAATGCAAAATTCTATGAGGAAACTTATGGCTTTATGAATTTACTTGAAATAGTAAAATATAAAGAACTGGCAGCTTGATTGGCGTTGAAGCCAGAGCTTCTGGCTTCAGGCCAGAGACGTATAGAAGCTCAGAGGAGGTCCCTTTGCTGAGGCTCAGCCTCTAACTGTTCCTTCTCTGGCCACCTCAGGATACAAACCACAGTATAATACTAACCATAATTTACTGTGAACCTACACTGTGCCGGCCACTTTACTGGATGCTTCACATACATTATTTCTTTGTGACAAGGTTGGTTATCCCCATTTAACAGATGGACAAAGTAAGGCTAGAAGAATATAAATTACTTGCCCAAGACCATCTGGATGCCGGGAAGAAATGTCGATTCTCCCGAGTCTTTCTGCCATCAAAGCCTGAGTCTTGACTCGTTATGCTACTGACTTTCACCAAAAGGAGGGGCAAGGAGCTGAAGTCCTCATTTATTTTGGGTTCCCATATGTTCAGACCCTAAACTAAGACATCTCCCAGAGAAAGTCAGGACACAATGTTAAGACGAAAAGTATAGAACTCTCAAAGACAAATAGATTCATGAATTGAAAGTAGGTTGGTTGGGGTTACATGTGGGTGGTAGATAATGGTTTTGGGATTGGGCTTGGGTTATTTGTGTGTGTTTGCTTTGAGGTAAACACCAAGACTCGATTTGTCTCTTCCTAACATTTAATGTAGAGCCAGAATTCTCCTAGCAGGTCAGGCCAAAGGAATGGGCCTGTTTTTTCTAAACCTTAGAAGCTAGAGTATTTATTAAAGTTGGTCAGACATTGATACTGCACACCAGGGCTCCTCTGAATACTTGACAGGGCTGGATTTCAGAAGGTCTAATTTGTTAGAGAACATAGGGGAAGCTCCAAGATGCCGGCCAGTGGATAGTGTCATGTTAGTTCACTCCCAGAAATCCCTACCTATTGTCCTCACAACAAACCCTTGGTTGGCTCACTAGCTGGAGGAGAAATAAAACAGGCATTTCCGAGCAATATGGAAGTTTTTTTTCCCTTGTGTTGACTCTGAGGCTAAGGACTAAAGCACTAGCATTGGGGCTGGGCAGACTTCAGATCAGTTCCCAACCTTGAACTCAATAACTCTTGCTCTGTGGTGTAAAGCAGTTATTTTACTTTTCTCTTTATCATGTTATTGGATTTGATTGAAAGGAGGGACCTCCAGACTACTCCAGAGCACCATTTACAGTGCGGTCTAATGGACATGTACCAAGCGGTACATGACTGCCCTGCTAAACCTATCCAGGGGGGGCGGGATAGGAAGTCCACCTAACAGTGCTCCCTCTCTTTTCCTAATCTCCGTTCTGTTATGCTCAGGTCAAGAACTATACATCATTGGGCGCCTGGGTGGCTCAGTCGGTTAAGCGACTGCCTTCGGCTCAGGTCATGATCCTGGAGTCCCTGGATCGAGTCCCACATCAGGCTCCCTGCTCGGCAGGGAGTCTGCTTCTCCCTCTGACCCTCCCCCCTCTCATGTGCTCACTCTCTCTCATTCTCTCTCT